CCTGTAGGACATTGACCAGAATGTGCTCTAATCTCAGGACATCCATCCCGTTGTTCTGCCTTAGGGCAAAGGTCACAAACTAGGGCCTCACACTTTTTTTTGTTGGGAACACAAAGTCGTGTTTTGTTTGTTTCTTTGTTTACTAGATTTGAATTTTTTGCCCAGATTTTAAATCATAGTACCTTAAGAGTGTATGTCCATAAGATGGCGCCTTAAGACCAGGAAGACTGCACCACTCACTTGTTTGCTACCTGCCTGGATCCTTTGTGTGTTTGAGTTTTAGAGGTTAGAAGTGAAATGTTTTATATTGGCTTTTAAAGGAGTCCAGCATCTTGCATGTGGGTAAATTCCTTGGCCCAGTTGTTTTAGCTTATCATGGAACTTTCAAAATGCTTGCTAAAATAAGCCAGTGTTGACAGGCTGTAATTTCAGCTACAGAGGGAGTGACCAAGTCCACAGCAGAACAGAAGAGCAAATGTTCTTCTGGGCATTTGCATTATGAATCCTTCTGCTAAAACGTAATAATCATTATTAGTACCAGAAATTAAGTGCCGTATGAAATACAGCAAAGGGAAAAAACTAAGGGCTTCCATGTGGAAAGGGGCTTGTGCTTGAATTTACGATAAAAGGAGTTATCAGAAAGCTGAAATAATACTTGTTTACTCCAGTCTTTACTGTTCTCTCCCCTCTGAAATTGTGAGACGCATGCTGCTTATAGTATTCATTTTGCCACTCAGTTATTTTCTTGCTGTTTAACCTATCACATATAAGCATTTTCTCTCCACTGAAAATATAAACTACAGAAAACCAAACACCACGTGTTCTCACTTACAAGTGGTAGCTGGACAATGAGAACACACAGAGAGGAACAACACATACTGGGGCCTGTGGGGAGTTGGCGGGGGAGGGAGAGCATCAGGAAGAACAGCTAATGGATACTGGGCTTAATACCTGGGTGATGGGTTGATCTGTGCAGCAAACCACCATGGCACATGTTTACCTATGTTACAAACCTGCACATGTACCTCAGAGCTTAAAAGTTGATATTTAAAAAAAAGAAAATATAGACTCCTGTAGGAAGGAGTCAGGTGCTATCTACTTTGTGCTGTTCCTGCTACTAAATAGCAGCTAACATGTATTGAGTGATTACTGTGTGCTAGGTATCTTAATAAGCACTATATCTGAATTGTTTCATTTAGTCTTCACAATAACCCTAAGTATCTAGGTCCTGTTATGTTGTCTCCATTTTACAGATAAGAAAACTTAGTTATTCCTAAGGTCATATTTCTAGTAAGTGGTAGAATCAATATTTAACCAAAATTGTAACTCTAAAACTTGGATTCTTAACCACTAGAGACCACCTCAGTACTTCCTCTTACTAGCAATAACCATCATTCATTAAGTGTTTATGGCATGCTACAAAGATACTCTTCTATGTGCTTCTTAATACAGTATCTCATAGCAACCCTTGAAATAGAAACTATTTTAATCTACATTTTATTGATGTACATTTTAACTTACATCTTAGCTTTAAAACTAAGGCTCAGAGAGGTTAAGTAACTTGCTACGAGCCACACAACTAATAAGTCAGTATGACTTCAAAGGTTAGTTGGTCTCCATGTGTTAAACTTTGACCAAGAATACTTAGTATAATGACATATGCATAATCATCACTTAAATTATTATTGAATTGAGTTACAT